GTAAAGTGAGATGGTTTTTTAAACGTTGGGGGATACTTTGAGCCGTTTGCAAACACAGGTGGTAATCTGAGATAAGTTGAAAAGCACAGGGGGCATGTACATAATTAAGCCTTCTATGTATTGCGGACACAACACAATTCAACATTTTACTATACCGGAATTTCTCGACATTCAAAATTCGACTTCACCCAAGACCATTTTAACCTCCTAGTCCTCGCATTGGAATATAACTTCTACTAATAAATAAGGGCACCAATAGAATTTAATGCATCACATTGATCTCCATTCTGCGGGTATTATGTTCATCCATACACTGGACCAGCAAATACAAAAACGAGAAAATTGGCATCATGGAACACAAACTATCAAAATCGGTAAACAGAATACAAAAGAACCAAGCAATTTCAAAATGGTGGCTCTTCTCATCGCCTATTGTAGTTTAACTTCAGTGTGCTTGGTGCAACAGAGCATGCCACAACTTTCACCTTGATTGCTGCCTACCTCTTCCCCTTCCAAAATGACGACCCCCTCTATGAGACGGTCTCCTTCCATGATTAGAAGATGCGCCCGGATTAAATTGCTGCATGTCCACGTTGCCTGTATTTGCAACAGGCTGTGGCATATTACAGTTCTGTTCAACAGGCAATCTATTCGACAGCATTCCTTGGTCTGCATTTAAGGTCGGGTGAGTAGGTTGGCCTTGTAAACCTATCCCGAATGCATTTTGGTTGAAACCATGCTGACCCACCATCCCCTGTGGATACATGGGTCCTGCAAAAGCATTCAATTGTTGACCTGGTGTGGGTTGGCCCTGTAAACCTATCCCAAATGTTGTTTGATTGAAGCCATGTTGACCCATCAGCCCCTGTGAATACGTTGGTCCTGCAAAGGAATTCAACTGTCCACCTGGTAAGACAGCACCACAAAGAAATCTCTGACCTTCAGCCTGCGGGTAGAATGGCAATCTCTCCGGAATAGGCATTTGATAAGGATATTGATGATTATAGGGTGAAGGCCATGGTGAACTATTATTTGGAAATCCATTTGGGAAGGATGTATTTTGTTGCTGAAACGGCATCCCATTTGCCCAAACTCCATTTGAAGTTGCGTTCATACCAGTGGCCTGTGTAGCAGCTGGAAATGGTGGAACTAATCCAGTCCCACCAACGAAACCTTGTGGTGCTGCAGAAGAAGATGGACAATAACCACGATCAAATGATGGTGCAGCTGGAGAGAAATGATGTTGGTGTTGATTGGGAGGCAGCTGACCTGCATCCTTTGGTGTTTGCTGGGGTGAAGGTTGATCATTTTTCCAGGGTCCAGGCTTGTTTTTACCCTTTTTTCTGTTGTTTTTCCTATTGCCAAGATTCTGGTCATTCATTCCCCTCTTTGTCATTTTTTGCATTCTCCTGTATTCAGCCTCTTTCTCATCATCTGAAAATTCCGCCTCATCTGACACCTCTTCATCATTTTTACCAGATGCATCATAACCCTTTTTGTAAACATCCTTGTTATTGAGCACATGATCTGCAAACTCCGGAACGAAAGAGACCAAAGTGCCTGCTTGTATTCCAGCAGGGATTTCACTTTCTGAATTGTATCTCACCACATAGTAAGGGTGTATGACAGGTCCGAAGATTTCATCTATCAACCCCAACGGAGATCTGCTTTCGGTTATCCAAAGAATTGAACCCTCGTTTAGAGGGTTGTGCTTCTCAACCCCTTCTACGATGGCTTGGGTACCAAGGATCTGTAAAATTGAAATTGACATCAAACTCAAACATTACCACAAATGTGCATCTTCTGGAGTGTCAACTAGATTCTACATTTTCAACGACACCAGAGATTGATGGAGTCCATGTTACAATATAGGATTACTTGCTTATGAGCTTACCGATAAAACAACTCCCACAGGCATCATCTGATGATGTGGTTCCAAGGTCACATTCACTGGAGGAATAGGTGGAAGTACCTGCAAAGTTCAAAAACAATATGTTTCAAGCTATTTGCAGACATATAACTGCAGAAAGCTAATTTCATTGACGGTTTACACAGAAGATGGCTAACAAAAATTCCAGAGTCAGTTCTGACAAGTAAAAGTAGCCCAAGTTAAGAGACATTGAAAAATAAAACCTAATATTATCATGCTTCATTAACTCCAACGCACTTAATTTGCTAGAGAGTATTCAAACCAAAATACTGGCAATCCTGGAATCCACTAAATATGAGACTTATATGATAGAAAAAGAAGATCAATTCAACTTGTGTTTAGATAGTGAGAAGGAGAGCCGAATCCTCCTTTGTTGCTTGCTTAAAGATCCTAACTACTTTTTCTTTCCCCTTATCCCAACTAAATTCAACTAAGTCCCCATCCAGAAAAGTTGAGGTTGGCTATCTTCTCATCTATCTACACTAAAGCGAAATCAACCAGTACCCCTCAGCTAAGCTAATTTATCAGTAAGGACTCATGAAGTACCATTTCCTCCGTGACTCCAAGCAAATCAATAGAGACTTTTTGTCCACCTCTCGCCAAAAGTTCATAGCAGCTTATCAATTCAAAAGTTCAGTAATGGCTTCAAATGCGAGAGAGACCAATAAAAAATTTCTTACCTCAAGCTCATTCTTGGACCTAATGGGTCCTTTCAGAGCTCCACCATCATCCTCTTCCTCGTCTCCATCATCAAAAATTCCAGCATCAGTCCAAGCAACCACTTCATCATCATCATCAGCACTTTCATAATCTTCATCAGCACTTTCATAATCTATATAGTGTGTCTTATCTCCCTTCTCCCCTCCTCCATCAGCATCCCGTATCTCACCTTCTTCAATTTCACCAGCCTCGTCGGACTCCTCCACCTCCGCCTTCATTTTCCCTTTCTCGTTTTCCTCCTCATCCATATTATCACCATCATCACTGCTGTCATCATCACTCGAGCTGCTACTCGAAGACGACGATGAGGACTCTGAACTTTCACTCACTATTTCACTCCTAGCACCATTCTCACCTTCAATCTTGGATTTCAAACTTTCATTCCCATTCTCATTATTCTGTGGTTCTCTTTCTCCAGCATTACAACTCACTATTTCACTCTGCATACCATTCTCACCATTAAGAGCCGAACTTTCCTCATGCCTCTCACTCCTCATACAATTCCCACCATCAAGAACCAAATTTTGATCACACCCTCCAAACAAACTGACCTTCCCCAGCTCTTCCTCAATAGAACAACCCAAATGTTCTGATATTTCACATTCCACCTTCTCCACAAAACCACAATCAATTGGCACAGACCCATCAACAGTCGGTTCAGACCCACAATCAATTGGGTCATACACATTAAAAATTTGGCCTTCACAGTCATTTGCCTCTCTAATAAACCCTTCTTCAACCAACTCAACCTTGACCTCCCCTGTTTCTGTCATATCAGGGTTTGGTATATCCTTAAACCAATCCTCTATGGACTCAAAATCCAAGAACGAATCTGCAAACGTCAAGTCTCTGGGATCAACAGGGTCAGGTGGGTCCTTCGAATTCTTGGTCTTTGAAGCTAGATCGAGGTCTTCGAGGGTTAGTTCAGGGATGAGCCCTACCATTTGAGAACGCAGACAAGAAGAACTCGGGTTGAAGTATGAGAAAAGTGAAATTCCATAAGTGCTAGTAGCAAGCGAATATAAATAGTTTGGGGTTTTGCTTTGAAACGGTCAGGTGCTTAAACCCTAGCTAGGGTTTTCAACATCTTCAGCTGAATATAAAGATGGCGAAGTGTTCGGTAATTTGGTTAATTAAATCAAGAATATTTAATAATAATAATAATAATAATAAGATGAAGCGGCGTCGTTTCAAGAGGTTCATCGACGAAACAAAATTGTAAACGCACGACCAATAAAAATACTATATATATATATATATAGAGAATAAAAATACTATTTGTATAAAAAAATAAAAAATAAAAATCTATATTAGAATGAGGAAAATAAATATATTCAAACATTTTCTTTATATAATATCAAATAAATGGGAAGTTAGTCTATATATATTAGAATGAGGAAAATAAATATATTCAAACAAAGTTGTTCATGTTTAAAATATGACTCATTTGTTAGTCATTTTAGGAAGTTAGTCTTTGATGAGTTATTATTTAATTTTGGGAAACTTTTTAGCACATTATGTTATTTTCATATATTAGTGTCAAGATTATTATGTTATTTTCATATATTTGTGTCAAGAATTAACATGTATTTATACTAATGCCGAGTTTATGTTGTGTGGTCAATCATGCCGCAACACAACATATGAAAATAACTGAGAAACAAATGATGCTGTTTATTTTCATATACTAATGCTGAGTTTATGTTGTGTGGGACGAAACGATGCTGTTTTGTGTCAAGATTATGTTATTTTCATATATTTGTGTCATGATGCCGCATCGGTATATAATGTTATCTAGTTCGAAAAAAATTGCTCATGACATCTCCCTTTCAACTGAGAAACAAAACAGCATCATGGGCAATACTATTAATGAAGGATATTCCATTAGTAATGAAAAAAGGAGTTGAGGGGATCCGTCCCATGTAGTTTCAATGCGATTAAGAGAGGACTTGTTGTCTAGTTCGAGTTAATTATATATGTTGTTCTTAATCACATTGCTCTTATATATGTTTTTTTTTACTGCAAAGGGTCTAATTATTGTCGACCTCTTCGTTTGGAGAGATTACTTGGGTTGATTTTACTGCACACTCTCCTCCTTGTGTTTGAAAGCCATAATTCCATATATATGTACATATCTCTTGCTCATAATCGAAAGTCAAGCCCAGTAGAAAATGACATTGACTTGTAGATCAGGAGAACTCCATGATGGTACCTTAACAATGTTGATGTGAAAAAAACCCCTCCTCCAATATCGCTTATATTATATAAAAAAAAAGGTCAAAAGATTATTTAATAAATATGAAAATTTCAACTCTATTTTCCACGAGGGTAAGATGATAAAATATGGTTTTTCTATATTGTTGATGATAAAAGCATGGGTTTTTTTTTTAACATTTTGACTTGCATGGTATTTATTGCATGTAGCTACAAACTGAGCCAGAGGCAGGCATCCATGTACATATCATAAAGAGTGAGCACAGAGTTTTACCCCAACCAAACCTAACACCAAACTTGCCGCCTTCATGTCATAAAAACCATCTTAACTCTCCAGCTTTCACTTTTACCTATCCACTGTGAACATCTTCTTCCAGCTAGTCTCCACCTTACACTGTTTCTATTTTAATTCGACACCATGAACTTTCTTTTTTTGTGTAGTCAAAATCGACACCATGAACGCAACTACGTCCCAAAAACCAAATCAAAATCCAAAAAGAAAAACTTCATAGGGATTTTATTTATAAAAAAAACATATCCATGTGAGAGAGTCGGACGCAATGCGTAAGGCGTTGATGTGCAATTTTACACATCTTAAACTAATAATAAGATATAGAAATTGAATTAGGCATTCATAGTAAAGAAGGCCTACTAGCAAACTATCGATAAGATCTAAGAATGGCTCCACAAAACGTACATATGATGGCTCTCCAAGATTTCCAATAAAATGGGACGTAACAAAATCTTGTAGCGGTCTGCATGTCGGCAACACTCGCTCCTCCGCCGCACCGTGAGCATATCCCTGCCGCCGGCTTGCTCCGCCGCACTTGCCTCTTCTGATCCACCAGAAAACAGAACACCACCATTCTGTTTTGGTTTCGGTTTCGGTTTTTGCCCTTTAACTAATTTCTGAGGAGAGCACCCAAAAATGTGATGTGTTGCTTTGTTCGGAGCTGAGAGCAAGCGGAGCCTACAAGTTGAGAAATACGAAATGAAAATTTATTTGTTTATATAATGCATCAGCAGAATTATAGGTCGAGCAAGTTTTATGGTCATCTTGGTTTTTGACCGTTGGATCAGTGTGGATCTGTAAGGTTAGGGGATGGAGATGTTCGCGGCTTAAGCTCCTGTTGCAGGCCTGTATATTTTTGCCAACTGGCCGAGGATGAAATGATGGGCATGAGATATTGGGCGTACGTATGGGTGTAGATGAAGGGCTGACAGTGATCTGGTGATTAATAGGGTTCAGCTGATTCTGTTGGGAGTGAATGTGGGTGGCAGTTGGTAGGTCCTTGGTGGTGATTTGGATTTGGAGTGGGCTTTGGCCGACTCACAGTCAAAGCATTGAAAATCAACGATCATCTTTTTTCCAACTTGGAAACAAAAAATTCCGTTGAGAAAAAAAGATGTTAACTTTTGTTTGTTTGCTGGGAAAATTGGAAAAAGATTTTGACTTTTCCACCATATGTGCATGCTACAATTAATATTTCGTTGTTTGTCTCATCCAAACCAAACTTGTAAAACCATTAGCTCAAATTGACTCGACCAATATAAAACGTCACCACATGAAAAATATGCCCATTTAAGGTCTCATCAAATCACATTTAAAACTTTGGTTGGAAAAATCAATTCTATGAACATACCAAGAGCATCAATCAAGGGAGTAATTTTCGGTTCCTTTTTCTTTTCTCAAACTTTTTAGTTTCTATTTCGGTTCCTTGGAGTATTCATCTCTTGGTTCAAGACATAAGGCTGCTAAGTTCTTACTGTGAAGAGATTTCTTTCCAGCATATCTTTCGAGAAGCAAACTTCATTGCTGATGCTTTAGCTAATTTAGTCCATAGTTTGAACCCTTCCCAGCTCTGAGAGCAAGGGCTTCCTTTAAGCTCCTCTGCTCGGTTTTATTTTGATTTAGTTGGGCTTGCGTTCCCTCGTGGTTTTCCTGTTGTAAGGTTTCTTTTTTCCAATTAAAAAAAAAATCTTATATGATTTTTTAAGCTACAAATCACAATCGTTTGCTTAATAGTTGGTGTCTACAAATTGGTATTGGGATTACCATATTCATGAAATATGTCCATTCTTAAATTCAAGGACCTGCCAACTTATACCATCATAATATATAATTAAAAGATTATAAGTAGTGGATCCAAGATCCGTAATGTAAATATTCCCAAAAAAGAAGAAGAGAGTTTTTCCTTTTTTTTATTATCTAATTTTTTCTCTTTCAAATTCTCCGTTTTCTTGGAATTCCAATTGTGATATGACATAATAAAAGATAACTTATGATTTAATTGATTTTAATAAAAAATGCCAATAACAAAATAAATAAAACTACAAAAGTGATACCTTACGAGTCTTTAAAAGCATTAAATTAATCAATAAAAATATAACCTACCAGTCTTTACACGTGTTTGTAAAACTTGCACCAGTTCGACCCACTTAATTAGAAAGAAAAAAAAAAAGAAAAAGGAAAGAGAGTGAGTAGAGAAGATATATCCATCTTCTTTAATTTTTTTTTTTCTATTCTCTCTTTCTTTCCTTTTATTTAATATTTTCCCCCTCTCTTTTTTTATTCTTTCTCTCTCTTTCTTTATTATTTTCCTTCTTCTTCCAGCCTCCCCCTCTTTTTTCTTTTTTAAAAATTTATTTATTCTTTATTTCTCTCTTTGAATCTTTCTTCCCAGCCTCCCCTCCACTCCCCCGCTACTAACTAAACAAAGAGGCTTTCCTTCTTCCATTGTTTCACAATAACAAATAAACAAGAGCAACACGAAACTAAAAAGGAAAAAAATATAGTTGTTCCTTCCTTGCGGTTGGTTTGGCTTTTGCATTAGTGCACAACTGAAAAACAAATGGCCTATTGATTCCATGGTAGACCAACACAACACAGACAGGCTGAGACTTTCGTTGAGCACTTGGTGTGCACACAAGGGGTCACTCCACAGCTGTCCAAGGGGTCATCCATAGCCAAATTTCAGGCATTTCAAGGGTGTTAGACCCCTCTTATCCCAACGTGGGTCCGCCTCTGAGTAGTATCTTCCTTAAAAGAAAAAAAGGTTATAAATAGAACTTTTAAAGCTCTACTTCTTTTTGGAGGATCTTAGCCATACCTTTTCCTTTCCTCTCATTTTCATAACGTGACACCATACAAGCACATGTATTTCTTAACGTAGAAGGAATGTAAATGAGGTTATCCAAGATGAAGGAAATGCTATGAATAAATTCCTATAAATTTATTAGTTAATTAAGTAGTTCAGAATTTAAAAAAAAAAAAAATGTAAGTTAGGTTAGTTGACCCGATTTTTTACACCAAAATTTGATTCCCTCTCTATAGTTAGTAAGAAAAAAACATTTCTCATTTTTTAATTTAAATTAATTATGTAAAACTTCAATATGACTCAAATAAAAAAAGAGAGGCGGGTACTTTACCTAACAAGTTCTCAAACGGCTATATATTTTTCAAAAATCAGTTTTGGCCCGTCGTCCCCATTTTCATGAAGCTCGTCTTCAAACGCCATTGCAGCTCTCTCACATCCTTAAATCTACAGAGCACCAAAAACCCATCACCCAAACAATCCCAAATCCTCCGACTCTGCAAGCTGGGCTTACTCTCCGATGCGATTCGGGTCCTGAACGCCATTGATTCCGGCGAAATCACCCTTAAACCAATCCTATACGCTTCGCTCTTACAAACTTGCACCAACGCTGTTTCATTCAACCATGGCCTCCAAATCCATGCGCATGTCGTTAAGTCTGGCCTCGAAACCGACAGATTCGTTGGGAACAGCTTGCTTTCTCTGTATTTCAAGTTGGTTCCCAATATGTCCGAGACTCGGAAAGTGTTTGATGGTCTTTTTGTTAAGGATGTGATATCATGGACTTCGATGATAACTGGGTACGTTAGGGCTGGAAAGCCTGGAAATTCAATTGAAGTGTTTTATGATATGTTGAAGTTTGGGATTGAGCCAAACGCGTTCACTTTGTCTGCCGTGGTTAAAGCTTGTTCGGAGATTGGGGACTTGATGCTGGGCCTGTGCTTTCATGGAGTGGTGGTGAGACGTGGGTTTGTTTCTAATCATGTTATAATTAGTGCTTTGATTAATATGTATGGATGAATTGACTGAACCAGGTGCTATATGCTGGACGTCGGTTATTTCTGCGTTCACAAGGAGCGATTTGTTTGAGGAAGCATTGGGGTTCTTTTATTTGATGCATAGATATCATGGGTTGTCTCCCGATGGTTTTACGTTTGGGACGGTATTGGCTGCTTGTGGCAACTTGGGGAGGCTGAGGCAAGGTGGAGAAATGCATGCTAAGGTAATTACATATGGACTTTGTGGAAATGTGGTTGTTGAGAGTAGCTTGGTTGATATGTATGGAAAATGCGGGTCAGTAGAGTATGCTCAACGTGTCTTTGATAGGATTCCCAAGAAGAACTCAGTTTCTTGGTCTGCGTTGCTAGGAGTGTATTGTCAAACTGGAGACTTTGAATCTGTCATTAAGCATTTCAGGGAAATGGAAGAGGCTGACCTATACAGTTTTGGAACTGTTCTTCGCGCATGTGCAGGTTTGGCGGCTGTACAACAAGGGAAAGAAGTGCACTGCCAGTATGTGAGAAGGTGTGGTTGGAGAGATGTTATTGTAGAATCAGCTTTAGTTAATCTTTATGCAAAATGTGGTTGCATAGATTTTGCCCGTAGAGTTTTCACGCAGATGCCAGTTAGGAATTTGATAACATGGAACTCAATGATTTGTGGGTTTGCTCAGAATGGTGGAGGTGCAGAAGCTCTTAGAATATTTGATAGGATGATTAAGGAGGGGGTTAAGCCCGACTATATCAGCTTTATTGGGGTTCTTTTTGCTTGTAGTCATGCAGGTTTGGTTGATCAAGGGCGAAACTATTTTATCTTGATGACAAAGGAGTACGGGATTAAACCTGGGATTGAACATTATTGTTGCACGGTTGATCTTCTAGGCCGTGCTGGGCTACTTGAAGAAGCTGAGAATTTAATAGAGAATGCAGATTGTAGGAATGATTCTTCCCTTTGGGCAGTTCTTCTAGGTGCTAGCACAAGCTGTTCGAACTCCACTACAGCAGAGCGCATAGCCAAGAAAATGATTGAACTACAACCTGACTACCATTTGAGTTATGTTCTTCTAGCTAATGTGTATAGATCAGTAGGCCGATGGGATGATGCCTTGGAGATTGGGAGGATAATGCAAGATAGAGGGGTTAAGAAGACGCCGGGTAAGAGCTGGATTGAATCCAACAGTAAATTGGGTTCTTTTCTTCCTGCGGGTGATGTGGAAATTCCAAGAAGAATAAATTTTCCTGTTGTTATGGATATTGTCTAAAAGTGAGAAGAAATAGGAGTGAACCAACAATCCACTGTCAACCCATCCTTGATAAGATACTCACATTATGCAATTCAAGAAATGGTTGGTGGAGACAATTGCATTGATGCATTCTTCTTAGCTTTTCTCACTTCGATATACAGCTGGGAACTCTACATTTTTTATATCATGAGAATTTTGGTTTAATCTCATTTTGTATGGTTAATTGGTGAGTGAGAGTAGATTTTGACCTAGACTTGTCAAAACAATAAGTTATCTTTTACTGTAGCAATGTTAAAATAATACCGATCACTTGCAAATTTTGGCATATCAGCCTGCATGAAAAATGAACAAGCACATAAAGCTTAAATCAAGTAGCAAAAATTGCATTCAGTGTTGGCATATTATTAAGATTTAATTTAACAAATGGGAAATACAACACATGTTTCGTCAAACCCAGTACTTTTTATACAATCTTCAAATTATTCAGCTGTTTTCCTACCATACATACACAGTATGAGATGCATGCACAAATGCTTTTCTGTACAGTGTAACGCCATTGGGAGTTTTTCACTTCAAATAATTACAAATCCTCAAGATCTGAAGTAGTTTCATCAGCCTCAGCTTTAGTTTCGGAATCTGTTTGATGTTCTGAGTCGAACACATATTTCATCTCTTGGCTAACCAATTTGGCAAGGTCATGCCTATTGGCATCTGTATAGGCATCTCTTACAGCTCTGAACAGGGATTCATTTGGCTCTATTTCTTCATATTTCATCTGGCTGTATATCCGCTTCACACCTTCAACCATACCAGCTTTACCGTAACAACCCACTAGGTTAATATACGTTACAAGGTCTGGTTCCAGGTCTTCATCTTGCATTTTCATGAACATGTTCAGAGCCCTGTCAATTTCCCCAGCTGCCCCATAAGCATATATAGCAACATTGTAAAGAAAAGAATCAAGTTTTACATCAGCTTTTGTGAATTTTTCACACGACTCGAGTGCCATAGCATGCATACCAACCAGAGAGAAAACATAGGTAATGATAGCTTGCCTAGAGTAAGGTTTCCCTTCATTGTAAGATGATTCAAGCTGCGTTACTGCTTCAATTGGAATACCTTTCTTCAATATAGTGAATAATACTTTAAAAGATCCACTATCAGGCAAGAGTTTCCGAGTTACCATCTCATGCAACAATTCTCCACATTCACGTAGCTGCCCGTTAATGGCATAACATGACATTACCTTGTTAAATGAACCACAGTCTCTTATTAGACCTGAAAGTTTCATTTCCTCTGCTACATCAATGGCTTCATCAAGCATGCCCACATTCTTGTAAAGATAAATCATGATGGCATATGTTATCTCATCTGCCCAACCCTTTGCTCTCAATTTTTCAAAAATCAATTTGGCTTCAGATACCATTCCAAGATCTGCATAGAGATTGATCATACTGTTAGATGCAACAATATCTCGGGGACCCTCTAGATCTTTCAGCCTCTCATAGAGTACTTTTGCTCCATCAAGGCAGTCCACCTTACCATAAGCCTTTATCAGGGATGTAAGAACTATCTGGTTTGCAGAAATTCCCGATTCTTCCATGTGGCGAAAATACTTAAGTGCTTCTTCAACTCTGCCAGATTCTACAAATCCATTGATTAAAGAACCATACACAAATTCATTTGGTTGTACTCCTGAGTTTACCAATTCTTGGTACACATCAACTGCATCAGAAAGCTGACCAAGGCGAGCATAGCATGCAATAAGAGCAGAGAAGGCTAGAGAGTGTGGCTTAAAACCCATTTCACGCATTTCTGTTAAAAAATCCCTTGCCTGTTCCACCAAATCACCTCCTGAGAACATTTGAATGAGAGAATTATATGTGCATTTATCAGGCCAAGTCCCATGATTTCTCATGCCCTTGAAGAGAGAAAAAGCTTTATCATAAAGCTTTGCCTTACCATAAGCTTTGATCATAACATTATATTCCACAACATCCTTCTTCTGTCTCGCCGAGTCTTTCTTCCTATAGAATATGGCCTCAGCTTCAGTCCAAAATCCCTTTTCAGCATATGCATCTATAATTGCTGCACGTGTCTTTGATGAAAGCCCACCATTTAATTGACATTTCTCTAAAAAAAACTTCGCCTGATCAAGCTGTCCCTCATTAATATACATCTTGATGACACCAGGAACAGAATGCTCATCAATTCGCACACCAGATTTCTCCATACTCCGAATCACAGTTTCCACATCGTGGACCATGTTTCTCTCACATAATACATGAAGAACTGTCCTGTGAGATACAATATCTGGGGAAAGACCCACCTCTCTGATTTTCCTATAACAGTTTAGAGCAGCATCAATGTTCCCTGCATCAGCATACAGAGACAGAAGAATGTTATAAGTTCTTGTATCAGGAGATATTCCCCTTTCTTCCATCTTACTAAGCAAAGCTTCCGCTTCTGACAAATGCCCATGACTTCCACAAGTAAAGATCATAGTATTGAATGTAATAGCATCCATTGCCACACCAGATTTCATCATTTCTCCAAACACATTAGCTGCATCATCAAGACGTCCTGCCTTCCCATACAAATCAATCAAAGCATTATATGTCGATGTTTGCCGTGGTTTTCGGATAGGGTTCTCTGTATCCGATGAGGCCTTCATCTTTGAAGTGGGGATTCTCCCACCTGTCTTGAAAAGCTCAGTGGACAAGAAATGCTTAAAACTAATAGGCTCTAAGCCAGAATCATTCGCAGAATCACCCATAGAATCTAAATCAAGTTCATTGAGCTCAATCTTGCCATTGCACCAATCCTTATAAAACTTATCTGCCCTATCAAACTCCCCTGCATCCTTCAAGGCCTTAACAACCGTATTCATTGTAACATCATCCGGGAAAATTCCCCTTAGTTTCATGTGCTTGATCCACAAAAGCGCTTCTTTCACAAGGCCTGCTTTCCCATACACATCAACGAGCATTGCATATGTATTGTTCGTCGGTAGAACACCTTTTTTCGCCATTTCAATCCAACAAAGCCTTAATTCATCCCATTTCTGAGCCCTACCCAGCTTTCGAAGAACCACATTATAGTGTATTACATTGGGTACATACTCCTTTTGTGA